CACTTGAGAACTGACAATGGCCTGGAGTACTGTTCAGAACAGTTCGATGAGTTGTAGGAAGAATGGCATTACGAGGCACAAGACAGTCCGTAACACTCCTCAACAGAATGACTTGGCTTAAATGATGAATATAACTCTCTTAGAGAGAGTGAGGTGCATGCTCTCAAAATGCCAGCCTACCCAAATCTTTCTGGGGTGAAGTTGTGTCAACCGCTTGCTATCTTATCAATAGATGTCCATCAACATCTATTGGAATGAAAACTCCTTTGCAGATGTGGTACGGGAAACCAGGTAACTATGAAAATCTCAACATTTTTGGATGTATTGCATATGCTCATGCTAGACAGGATAAGCTGGAAGCAAGAGCTTTGAAGTGCATTTTCATCGACCCCACTTGGAACTAAAGGTTACAAACTGTGGTGTTTAGATCAACAGAAATGCATCATCAGTAGAGATGTGGTATTCGACGAGTCCAAAATGGCAAACATGCAAAGCTACGTTACCAAGAACAATGCTACTAAGAAGGATACTCCAATTGAGGTGGAGCTGCAACATCAACAAATCTTGATGGATCAAGGGACTGTTGCAAACAATCAAGATGAAGCGGCAGAAGTTCAACAAGAAATTGAATCTGAAAGCAGATCAAATGACTACAGTTTGGTGAGAGATAGGCAGAGGAGAACCATCAGACCGCTAGAGAGATGTGGTCATGCAGATTTGATCTCCTATGCATTGAGCGTCGCAGAAGAGATAGAAGAAGTAGAACCGAATAACATAAGAAAGCTCTAAAGAGCAAGGAAAGACATAAGTGGGTAGATGTTATGAATGAAGAGATAGCTTCTCTGATGAAGAACAAGACTTGGGAACTTGTAGACCGACCAAAGAACCAACGCATCGTTGGTTGTAAGTGGAACTTCAAGAAGAAGGAAGACATCCTAGGCATCAAGGAGGTCAGGTATAAAGCAAGACTTGTAGCAAAGGGATTCACACAGGCAGAAGGAATTGACTTCAATGAAATCTTCTCGCCCGTGGTAAAGCACTGCTCGATAAGGATAGTTTTATCACTAGCAATTTAAATCAATTTGGAATTAGAGCAGCTAGATGTTAAAACTGCTTTCCTACATGGAGAGTTGGAAGAAACCATCTTCATGGATCAGCCAGAGGGGTATAACACACCTAAAACCAAGGATAAAGTTTGCTTGCCGAAGAAATCTTTGTACGGACTGAAACAAAGCCCAAGAGAATGGTATAAAAGATTTGATGAGTTTATGCTGAGGATTGGCATCATCAGAAGCAACTACGACAGTTGTGTCTATATAAAGAAGCAAGATGGTGATATAAGTACTTACTTACTCCTATACGTGGATGACATGTTAGTAGCTAGTAGAAGCAAGGAGGAAGTTTAGAAAATCAAGGATATGTTGAACTCAAAATTTGACATGAAGGACCTAGGACCTGCTACAAAGATCCTAGGGATAGAGATTACAAGAGACAGAAAGAAGGGCAGCTTATTCTTGTCTCAAAAGTTATACACTCAGGAAGTTCTAGCAAGGTTTAACATGCATGAGGCTAAGCATGTTACAACACCAATTGGTCAGCACTTTAGATTTTTAAATTCTCAAATGCCTGAGAATGAAGATGAGAAAAGATACATGAAGGGTGTCCCCTACGACAGTGGGGTTGGTAGCATCATGTATGGGATGGTTTGCAGCAGACCAGATTTTGCCTACGCCGTCAATATTGTAAGCAGGTTTATGGCAAATCCAGGACAGGCTCACTGGAAAGCTCTAAAATGGATCTTGTGATACTTAAGAGGTACCACTGATTTGAGGCTGCTCTTTAAAAGGCAGGAGGGCAATGATGAAAAGATAGTCAGCTACGTGGACTCTGATTATGCGGGAAGCATTGACACCAGGAATTCACTAACTGAATTTATCTCCATTGTCTTCGGTACTGCAGTTAGTTGAAAGTCCAACCTTCAATCTGTGGTGGCTCTCTCAACAACAGAGGCTAAATACATTGTTGTAACAGAAGCAATTACAGAGGATATATGGCTAAAGGACATTACTGAAGAACTTGGTATATGTCAAAAGCTTGTAACAGTGTTCGGTGATAACCGAAGCACAATTCACCTAACCAAGAACCAAGTCTTTAATGAAAGATCCAAGCATATAGATGTAAAGCTTCACTTTGTGAGGGATGTTGTAGCCAAGGGTTCTATAGTTGTGGAAAAGATACCCACTGAAGAAAATCCCGCTGACATGTTATTACCGACAGCTAAGTTCAGATACTTTCTAGACTTAGTAAACTTCACTGGGGTCTAAGGGCCCCATCGAAGCTAATTGGAGGGAATCTCTAGAGCATAGTAATTAAGAGTCAAGGTGGAGAATTGTTATATATCATGGCTCTTAATTTTGACAAATGACACACTTGTTATTTTCTCCATGCCTCTTGGGAGGCCTCATCTATCTATAAATAGATGAGGGGTCTTGTGAGGTGGGGTGACTACTATAAGGAGAAAGAAAAATTCTGATCAAGAGGATTAAGAGGAGGAAGAAAATCAGTAAGGAGAGGAAGAAGTGGAGATGCTTTAGAATTGAGGGAGAGGTCTTAGATCTTGTATCAAGAGAGAGGGAGATATCTAGAGAGACATAGTGATTTCTCAATGTAATGAGCCTGTAATTCTTCTTTTGTCTTAGTGAATTTTGTAGTGATTCCCTCCGTGGATGTAAGTCTACGATCCGAACCACGTAATCTTCTTGTGTTCTTTGTGGCATTGTGTTTCTGCAAAATTTCTTTTTTCCTTTCTTTTTTTGTTTCCTGGTTTTGCTGTCTTCATCTCTTTCGGCATCCAAGAAAGGCATCGACATCCAAGAAATGCAGCAGGGAGGAAGAAGGATCGCAGGACTCCATTCGACTCTGGTTCGCGCGAACACAGAGAGACGAATCGTGGAGGACTATTTTCTGCCTGAGAAGAAGGTGGTTGTTCGGTCTCGTCTGCAGAGTTCGATCTCGTCATTGACAAGAACCGCGGAGTTCGGTCTCATCTTCGGCACTCCAGACCGAACAAAGGGGAGACGACAGTCTTGTCCTTGGTTCTCCAAACCAAACAAGAAATTGTAGGCTGCAGGAGTTTAGACTCGGCTACGGCAGCCGAACAAGAAAGAAATTCCTAGTGTTCTTAGATAATTTTTTTTTTATTAAAGATCTTTCCCATCTAACTCAATCCGTAGAGGTTCCTTTTGAAACATTTTTCAGGTGCTCGGCGGGGCGAGTCTACAACAGCCTATTTCTCATATTAAGCACAAACTTTTGCATAATAAGCACAAACTTTTGAATTTATATTAAGCACAAACTTTTCTGCCATCGAAGATAAGTCAAACCTCATGTGATGGCTATCTGTTCTGGAATCATCTCATTGTTTACCTTCCAAGAAGGACAAAGACCTTTTAGGAGGCAGCATGCATCATATATCGTGTCTTCAATAAATAAAATCATCATGTTGGCCCAAAAATACTGAAAAATATCAAAATATTCATTCTCCTATTCTTTTTGTTGTCGCATGTAAAAAATATAAGAGAATCAGAGAATTATATAGACACCAATTATATGGGTTCTGGAACCATGTCCAAGGTATCAATCCAGACCTTCTCCTCAGAAATCTTAGTCACATCAACTTTAACCAACTGCAATGGAGGGTACATAAATAATATCAAGATGTCGACATGAAATGATTTAGGAAAATTTAAACCCATAGAGAATAAGAAAGATTAGTTAGAAAGATGAACACCAAGTTCTGAAAATTCTATTTTGTTTGCAAGAATGGGTGATTTTCGGTTAAATCAAATTTGAATGACCAAATAACAATCGTTTGCAAAGAACATCTCAATGGCGATGGATCTATATAACCTAAAGTAATAAAAATATGTTTAATGTCAAGTAATGAGACATAAATATCTCTAATTACCTAGAACACCGTCTATAACTTCAAATTACAACACAAAAGTGTGCAGCTTGCTAGGAACCATAGTGAAGCTAAATGTTGTTGTAGTGTAGAGACGAAGCAATGATAAGAATAGTTGACTGAACAAGAACTAAGCGATGGAGACACCAAAATAAGAGAAGTAGAATGAACAGCACAAGATAGATCAAAGTCATCGCTCGAGGGTGATGTCATAGTCAAGCCAAACTAAGAGCTTGAAAACAGAGTGAGTAGCATCATAATTAGTGTCAATATTGTCAAAAACATCCATGACAGAGCTAGTGAGAAGTGTCTTTAATGATGATCCTCTTGCATATAAGAGCAATAAACTACGAACTTCTTTCAATTATATAACTAGTGTCATTGACTGTAATTTTTATCAACTCAAATATTATTATTGAGAGTTACTTCTATCAGTATATAACAATAAGACAAAATTTTAAAATGTTCGCCCAATAAATTTAATAAAAAATTTTGTAGTAGTATTAATTCATAAAAACCTTTGGCATGTGAATCTATAATAGTATTTGTTGATGTATTGTTCCAATTTTAATTATCCGAAATAAAAATTGAAAGGTTAATTTAAGCTATTCCTTGAAAAAAAAAATCACATTTTTATCTTGCATGCCTATAAATTGTTTTTGTTGCTTTGAGAAGCTTATACAGAAAAAGTGAAAATAATAATAAACAATAAAGATTTTATACTATTTAATGATTTCTCGGGCTTGAATTTTTTATTGCACGTTTACCTCAATTTCTTACATGGTGGTTAGCCATAATCCTCAACTATTATTTAAATAAAGCACTAATTTGAACTCAATTAAGAAAATAATAAGAGATTATATATGAACATGTATGTGACGATTACTGAAAACATGAAAATAAATATAAAGATAATTGTACATATATTTCTGATCACACAATTTTATTTACAGAGATTCAACACATATTGATCAATACAAGCAACTATTCATAATAGTATGTAGACACGTACATATAAGATACAAGTCAAGCAAAAGACCAGTTGATTTGGTAGTCGCCAACATCATCTCCAGACATTCCCAATGCATCCCAAACGGCTGGAGAAGCATCAACAATATTATTGTGACATGGTGGCTGAAAATCATGATCAGCATCACAACCCTTTACAGAGTCGCATTCATCCACAACTTTAGCCAACACCGACTTTCCGTTCACATTGATCTTAATTGTCTTCAAGAATTGGCTACCATGATCATACCACCTGGTAGAAAGCGCCACCACCTTCTCATCATCATTGTGATACTTGCCATCGCATTTCGATGGGCCTCCACCATCTCCACCTTTGGCGAAGCTATTGATCGTCATAGTGGCGTGTGTTTCATAAGAGATTGGTGGTGAGCAGTAGTATTGGGGGTACTTTTCTCCCGTCTTGCAACATTCTGAGTCATGCTCTGTGTTACAGTGGCTAGCTTTGCCATGCAGAAAGCCGCTTGGGCTACATTGGTCGAGAGCTACATTGGTCGAGAATTGGGGTATAGGACGACTACGACAAATATAGTCCTCGAAGAACTATTCATTTTTCGTTAAGAGTTTAAGAATAGAGATGTGAACTGTGTGTTTTTCTTCTAATGGTTATTCTATGGGTATTTGTCAGTGTGTTATAAGTGTTGGAAATTAAACGTTAGGGAAGTATGCGTATGGTGGCTGTGAATTTCTGCAACTTCTATGTATAGAATATGTTTGGTTCATTATAATGAAGTGATGTGTTATAGCTTTAAATAATATCGCAATTAAGAAATTAGAAATCAATACACAAAATGCACGGCACGGATGCATATAGCTCATTTAGTTCTTATAAAATCTTACATTTTGCTATCGTCATTACGACTGTAATTGAAAAGTTGAAAAAGAGGTTTGAATCCATTTCAATTCGGTTTGGATATGATGGGAGCACAAACTATACAATTACTACGTATTTTATATCTATCTAATTTTTATTTTTTTTTATATTTATAAAATTTAAACCTTTCATATCACATAAATGATATTATTATAGCTAATTTCTAAAAGGTAACATATACCTTCTTAAAATTATATAAATAAAATGTTAAAGATGCTTCTAGTCTAAACGAATCAAATTGGTTTCGCTAGTTTTTTTTTTCTCTATTAAATCATAGAACTCATAACTAATCTAGTTACGTGCATAAAAAATGACAAAAAATTTACTAGATAACACTATTCCCTAACAGAAGAAGCATTCCGATTAGGGCTCATTGGATAAACTTGTTTTGGAAATGGGGAAGGCTATCGATTCCACTTTTCTAATCGTTGTCTTGCCCCAAATCAATTTGTTAATTTACTCATTTTTTCTTTGATATTACCCCTTCCCTCCTCTCCCTTCCTTTGGCTTCGTAGCAGGCATTTGGTGTTAAGGCACATTCACGATCCTCTTCTTTTCTCCCCTGTATCCTTTGCCGCCTCTGTATGTATGTATCTCTAAAACCATTATCTCCTTTCATGTTTTTTGCTTTGTGGTTGTGGTTTGTTGCTTTTTTGTTTTACTGATGTGATTGTACCTTAGGGCTTCTTGGTTTTCATCTACTATGTTGGTTTGGTGCTTCTCATTTCACATAAGTGAATGCATCATTGCTCATTGGGGCTTCTCAGTTGTCTTATGGAGTGGTGGGTTTGTGCTTCTCTTTTTACCTATGTGATTGTGTCATGCCCATTGGGGCTTCTCGTTTGTCCTGTGTGGTGGCCGTCAAAATATTTAAAACGACCACATTAACAAAGAGGTGCATGAGATACATGCAAGAAAAATTCACAACACATATATGTATTTCCCTGTTGCATCATGGACATCATCTATGAGTTTCTCTCGCCATGTTAAGAAAAATGTGCACAAGTTTTCTTGTTGTGGAGGACACAATTGCAAAATGAGTGACATTTCTAGTATCACAAATGAGACTCCCGGGGGCAATAATATAAAGTTGAACCACTCAACTATGTGACTAAGCAAGAAAATCTTTTGGCAATAGTTATAAATAAAATAACGTAAAAAATAACTAATAAGGTGATAAATGCCAAAATCAAATACCATCCTTCCTTTAATTAACTTTTGATGGTTACATACATTACAACAAAAACAAGAGCAAAGGAGAAATAACAGCACAAATTACAAAGATAACTAGAGATGAAAAAGGTGAAGACATTGGTTCTTCACATCACCCAAATTAATCTTCCAAGATTGAAGAAGCTGCTACAAAGCCTATCACCCATTACACAAAAGCTGTCTAGATTGGGCAAACTCTATTAGAGAATGACTAATCTTGTCTCTATTTTCTCAAGTTGCCTCTGGGTTTCATGGGAGATCTCCCGGGACATTGCCAACCTCACCTCCAAATCCCCAATGCATTTCTTAGCTTCTTACAATTTTGCTAGTCACGACTAACTCTTTACTCAAATCGCTTATCAAATTGTAGGAAACAGTAGCTCATCTGACCAAGGTGTCTCCCATCATCTTAGTCATCACATGCAACTCGTTGACAGATGTAGACATCTAGCTCACTATCATCTTAACTAAAGGGTCAACCATATGGGGCAAGTCCCCGAAAGTAGTGTCGATCACTTCTAGATGGCCTCTCCTTGGTAACATATGAGGCACTATATCTACATACATCATAGTAGCCACATAACTGGCATATCGTTGCTTAGGATAACGAGCTTCTTTGTCAGTATGCATCTCTGCAAGTAGCACGTGATCATATTTAACAAGAAGAAATGTAAAAAATATATCAAAATGTGCTATGTTACCTTCAAGAAGGCAAATTGAAGCCAATTTGTTCTATCTGAGCCTCCCTTCTTGAACCTGTTCCACAAGACTCTCTCCCACAGCCACAAAGGGATCATCAAGGGGAGCCACAAGACCATGACAATAATCTATAGGTTTGCATAAAATCACCTAGAGCATTCATATAAAATTTATTAACCCCCCGAGTAAAAATTTATATGACTCTACGACAATAAGAGATTGCATTCTTACCACATGAACTGGGTTTATGGAGCGTCATAAAGTTAGACCCAGTCAGCCTGCTCAAGACCTTAACAGATGAGCCACTGAGCGATTCAAATCAATGATGATAAATCATGATGGAGAAGGATTAGATGAGGTTATGGCCATCGCAGCATCGTGATTGACTTTTTTTGTGCCATTCAAAATATGATCCGAGATGGGAGTATCGTATGTAAGACATATTAATGATGCTCTTTCCTCGGCAACAACTCAACCTTCTCTCGCTCTGATCCTCTTCTTTGAATCTTGATCTTCCTTAGAGTGATCTTCTTTTCTCCTCTTTCAATAAAGAGCAGCTTTCATTTTTTCCTCCAGGATCCTCAGATTTTCAATTAAATATCGTTCATCACGAAGGATAAAAGAAAGTTTTTCAAATGAACAATAAACAAGAAATAATTTTTTCGATGACAAAGAGCACAATGTCTCTCACCACATCCATGCAATAGTTTTATAGCAAACAGAAAGTTAACTCATGAAAAGATTTCAAAATTGCCAATAATATTGTTGCCCTTAATGCATGTTACTCTTTCTTTGAGATCATAATGGTATATCCAATAAACAACTCATATTCATATGTGGATCTTATTCAAATCACCTGACAATTATTCCCTGACAGAAAGAAAATTACAATAGATGCACAACCTGATAACACCACAAATACATAAGAGTCCCGAACTTTACTTTTGATACATTATTTGTCCATCAAGAAACATAGAACTTCTACCAATTGTCAATCTCTCCTTATCATATTTCATCTTGCATGGAACAAATGTCTTTGCCATAAACTGCTCGAACATGCGAGAGGATAGATTTGCCCACTTGGACAAGGTCTTAATCCAGAAAATTGGTAAGTTCAAGAGACTACTCCTTTTAGGTGAGCTAAAGCTCACAGGCGAAGGATAATCCGTGTTTACTCAGAATTTCAAGCGACTACTCCCTATAGAATAGCTATGACCCAAGGTAATGAGAAGTGTTTGTAATGACTTTTTTTGTAGATAAGAGCAATAAACTTGACTGTATTTTTTGTTATTAAATAAAATATTTTATTGAAAGTTACTTATATCAATGTATGACAATAAGACAAATTTTTTAAATGTTTGACTAATAATTTTAATTATTAAATTTGTTGTATTTTTTTAAGTGTTTGTTGATATACTGTTCCAATTTTAATTATTCGAAATAAAAATTGAAAGGTTAACTTATGTTATTTAAAAAAAAATCAAATTTTCCCATAAAGTTGATCTTCTATTGCATTTATCTTGCATGCCTATAAATTGTTTTTGTTGCTTTGACAAGCTCATATACAAAAGGTGAAAATAATAATAATAAATGAAGATTTTATACTCTATTTATTTCTTGGGCTTGAATCTTTCATTGCATGTTTAGGGTTAGCCAAGATTCAAAACTATTTTTTAAATAAAGCACTAATTTGAACTCCATTAAAAAATAATAAGAGATTATAAATGAACATCTACGTTAATTATACATATATTTCACATCACGCAATCTTAGTTGTAGAGATTCAACATGACCGCGACTTTATATATGCTTAAAAATACAAGATAAATATGGACATAATAAATATTCAATAATTGTAAAGTCACACTTATCAATGCAAGCATATGTATCGCTCAAGTAATATATGGCTCTAATGAAGTCCTAGATATCGATCCCTTAGGGAGTGGTTTAGAACTGCGAACTAAGATTTTAGAAAAGCAATACTTTAATCACAACACTGAAGTTCAATTTGCTTATATGTCACTAATAGGCAATTTAAATAAATAGGTAAATTTAATAACTATTAAATAACTAATGATACTAAGGAGGGTCTAATTGTGATATTAAATATATAAGAAAGCATCATTCTCCTTGTCAAGAAATTATAGTGAATGAATAAAGTAAATTAGTTCAATTTATATTGTGTCAAATAGGAGCATACATATTCTTTACCCTTTGGTCCAGGCATAAAGAATATTGACTAATCCTACGCTTGTTTACTGTATCTGCGGTTAGGCTGGCAGGATACCGTCTCTCACTTCGGAGCTCTCACGTTCCCCTCACCTGAGGGCTAATATCTACACTTCAGCACCCAAACGATAGGACCGAATTGGGGATTTTAGTTTGTCACTCTAAAATCTCCAATTTTACGCCCGATAATATTATTTCCCTATTTATTTCAACCTAACTTCCAAGGGTTTTGACCTCCCTGAATCTAATATTCTAACAAAATAAAAAAAAA